ACCATAAACTCTAAGCCCTAAACCCCAAACCATTAGCCAACCCTTACCAAGACAGCCCACCTGGAGGCCGTTCTCGGACTCTCGGTTCTTGATCCACACCTGGCAGGGACGGCTCGGGCCTTTTTAGGTTTTAGAGTTTACGCTTTCGAGTTTAGGCCCCAAACCCTAAAGCCATGAACCCTAGGTTTATTTTAAGCTTCCGAACTTTGGGATTTAGGGTTTCGTGGTTCTGGGTTTAGGGCTTGGGCTTTTTAAAGTTTGGTTGTAGAGGGCGTGGGCCTTGTGTTTCGGATATGGCTAGTTCTCTACATTCAGGGTCCTGTTTAGGGTCCTGTTTAAAAGGGTGCCGTACTACCTTGGGAACCTGAAAAGGGACCATAACCCTATGGAAGCCGTATAGAAACCCCTATAGCGTTTAGCACCTAGGGTTTAAATGCAGCAGGGTTTCAACATTCTTGGTTGTAGAATTCCTTCCGGGGCTTACGGGTCTCAGATTTCTGGTTTAGGGTTTAGGGTTTAAGGTTTCGGGTTTAGGGTTTAAGGTTTAGGGTTTCGGATTTAAGGTTTGGGGTCTAGGGACAATTGAACGTCTGGGGTCTAGGTGTAGGCCTACTCTCAAGGTGGTCGATACAAGCGAGAATCCTTAAGCACACTTGAGCCAGCTAGGTGCGAGGTGTCTACCTACACTCTCTAGGACATTTTCAGGTGGGTAGTTACCGTTATAGGAGCCTTATAGAAGGTCTATATACCTTATAATTATGGAAGCCTTATAGAAGCCCTATATACCCTAAACTCCCCACCTGCAGTTTCCTTTAACACTCCCTTCTTTCCGCGATCTTCTCTGCCGTATTCAAAGGATCCTAACGATGCGACCAGAAAGGACCCCTCCGTTGAAGAACAGCCGAGACAGGGCACAGCAAAGCCAGGAAGCAACATAGCAGGGCCACGACGACACGCGCACGGTCTCTTGGGGGTGTTGATGAATGGTTCAGGTTTAGGGTTTAGGGTTTTAGGGTTTAGGGTCTCGGCGAGGAAGGCGTGGGACGTTGACGTTTGAAGGGTTAGGAGCCCTGCCCTATTTGATGCCCAGCTGCGATGCCCTGCAGCTGCGGGTCAATGATCAAGCCTGGGTCGGTGTGGCTCAGGACACAAGGGCTAGGGTTTAGGGTTTAGGGTTTACCGTTAATGAGGCTGATCACCATCAACCGTTGCATTGTCTCGAGGCCGAGCACGAAAACCCGTAGTTATTCCTCTCGGCGCTAACGCACCTCCGGATCGCCCTACTTCGGGGCTTGTGGAATCAGCAATCAGGTTCCTACCCCTAAACCCTAAACCCTAAACCCTAAACCCTAAACCCTAAACCCTAAACCCTAAACCCTAAACCCTAAACCCTAAACCCTAAACCGTCGAAACCGTAAACCGTAAACCCAAAGCCATCAAGCCTGAACCCTAAACCCCAAAGCCCTTAACCCTAAACCCAAAGCCATAAAGCCCAAGCCCCAAAGCCCTATAAGCCCTAAACCCTAAACTGCCCCAAACCCCGAAGCCCTTAACCTCTAAAACTGAAACCCTACGCCCTAAGCCCTAAACCCTAAACCCTAAACCCGCAAGAAGCCCTGCTTAGGGATCGAATCCTACTTGCCGGGTAGCTCCAAACGCTAAGCCCTAAACCCTAAACCCTAAACCCCTAAGCCCTAAACCCCAAAAGCCCTAAACCCTAAACCCCTAAACCCCTAAAGCTGAAACCCTAATTGCCGGGTAGCTCCAGCGCTGCGAGTTGCACCTCTCTTCTTCAACAACCAGGCCCAAAAAAGTTCAAACGTTTTAGGACAGACCAAATATATAACCCTAAACCCTAAACCCAAAACCCAAAAAGTTAAAAGTTCTCCTATTGGCTAACTTAGGCACAAGATGGCGCCGTTCTCGCAGCTGACCCGGTCGGAGGGCAGGCCCTGTCCTGTTGATGGGGGTGAAGTTGGGGTTTAGGGTTTAGGGTTTAGGGTTTAGGGTTTAGGGTTTAGAGACCCTAAACCCTGTTTAGGGTTTGGGGCTTCGGGTTTAGGGTCCTTGGGTTCGGAGGGACACGTTTTAGGGCTCTTCCTGCCTGCCTTCGTTTGCTCCCTGATGTTCTTTTGAAAATCCCAAATACAGCCAAACTTACCCCAAAACCCAAACCTCATCAAACCCACTAAACCCTCACAAACAATGTAATAAATCTCTGCAGGAACCCATGAAGCCTACTAGGCGCGCACACACACACACATAGCCTCCGACATCACGCCACTATCCCTGTAAACCCTAAGCAAGTCCATTACTCCGCTAGCACTGACAGACGCGTTTGGCCTGCCCAGGAAGCCATCTCTGCATCCGAGGCGAGCACGCCGAGGGGGTCTGGCTTCGGCCCTGACCGGTGGTGTTTTGTGATTTCTGCTTTTTAGGGTTTTGGGTTTTGGGCTTGGGGTTTAGGGTTTAGGCTTTTAGGGTTTAGGGCTGGTTTAGGTTCAGGTCTAAGGGTGTCGCGGGTTTAGGATGTACGTCTTGGAAGGTTTGGGTTGCGGAGTTCATTGCTTCTTGCAGCTCGGTGCGAGCTTAGGCTTCGAGGTTTGGTTTCGGGCTTCCCAGGGTTCTCTTCTCATGGTGGTTTAGGGGCTGGGCTTCCCAGGGTGGTTTGACAAGGGGCTTTAGGAGAAAAGGGTGCGGGTCTTCTGGGCTTTGGGGCTCGGGGTAGTCGAAGGTCTGATTACTGAGCTCCTGTGTCACCGAGGATCCATATGCCCTCATCCTATGTACTTTTGAGCTGCAAGGTGCTTCTTCGGTGACTTTAGGGCCAAGGTGTGCCCTAAACCCTACCCAAAGGTCCCATAGTAGTTCCTTTTGGGGATTACCTTATAGGATTCTAAATATGAACCCCAAACAGGAAATACTATGGGTCCTATGAATAAACCCTAAACCCTAAACTTGTCGAGAACCCTAGCAAGCCCCCCTTTCTAAGACCCCACACGACCGCTGGGAGAAACCCTCAAGGAACCTTACGGGTACATGGGACTCCAACCCGAAACCCTAAACCCTATATGGTATAACCCTAAACCCTCTATGGTATAACCCTAAACCTTCTTTTAACCCTAAACCGTATATGGTACAACCCTAAACCCCATATGGTATAACCCTAAACCCTCTAT